GGTAAGGTACTTGTACTTTTACTCAAGTATCACTTTGTGGTACTTTACACAACACTGAAGGGTAGTTAGGTCTCACTGGTCTTTAGGGGTAGGTCTTAAGAACTGAGCTGGAAGTGGGTGAGACCACCCAAAGGAAAGACTCTGAACCAGCGCCAAGTGGACCCGGGTAGGGCTGAGTCGAGACGATGTGAAAAAGGTTAAAAATCTCCAAATTGAAGTGGTTCAAGAGATATCTACAACAGGTAAGACATTATTTGTTCATCCCCTTTCCACAGAACCGTCACTTTAAGACCAGTTTTCATTGGTTCAAACCATCAGCTGAAGCTCTTCAACAGTTTTCTCATGGAGGAGAGGAACAGGAAGTGTACAGAGCAGTAAAACCTTGTCTTTAAGGATCAGTGAAAGCTCAGAGTTTTACCTGCTGGCTGTAGGCACTCAGCACCTCCTCCAGGGGGAAGGTGAAGCGGTACGAGCCCAGCCTGGATKTATGCTGGAAGGCTGGGGAGGAGGTGAACTTCCACAGGAAGCTCTGCTGCTCACGGACCTGCTCCTCGGTTCGGTCTGGGAAAGTCTTCTCCAGGAGCCTGGTCTCAGCAGACCTTATCTCCTCTGGTCCCACAGACAAGCTCCACCACACCAGAGGATCTTTGTCCGTCGGAGGATCATCAAATGGATACAAGAAGCCTTTTTTTTTTTTGATTCCTAATAAACGTTCTCTTGTTGTGTCATGTTTCAGACGACACACATGGAACTCTGGTTCAGGACTACGAGGAATGTTCCAGTTCAGTTTCTTGAGGTACGGATTTTGCAGGTTAATCTCTTCATCTGCTTGTTTCAGCTCGTTTAGCTTCAGGTGCTTACGTTCAACAGCGTGATAACTCCACCCTTTATTGTTCCTACGATGCTCCATGCTTTAAAGTGAGGCGATGAAGATCAAACTAAAACYGGTTCTGTTTGTCGGTTCTGCTGCAGGGAGTCCGGTTCTGACGTCAACCAGAGTCACAGGAGCTGCAACCTGCAACAATAAAACACTCGGTCTGTTTACAAAGTCAACATTTCTCAACTCTTACTCCATGTGGATTAATAAAGGACGTGGAATCAGCTGAAGGTTTTATTACTAAAGATGTGCACAAGTGTTTTTTGCAAGTCCAAGTCAAGTCTAAGTCTCTAACAGTAGAGACTAAAGTGCGACTCAAGTCTAAGTCCAAGTCACGAGTCCCTATCTCTACTTACTACACCTTTAACTGTAACAAAATAAGCCTTTGTTTCAGTTTTAAGGACATGTATATTACTGTTTTGATGAGATGTTGAAACCGCACATTGTTCATCATATACAGAGTTTGTTTTTTTTTTTTTTT